TTAGTTTAACTAATAATCTTAAATTCAAATTACAGATAAATGTAGCTACATTAAATATTTAAAAAAAAATGTGCTATCTATAGTAGTCATACACTCCTTTAACAAGATTCGTTGACACTATTATTGAATAATATTTTGTAAAATACAATCTTATCCAAATGTTGTATTGAAATTTTTACTAATTCAATTAAATGTATAAAATTTTATATAATTTGAAAATTTTTATAATTTATGGCATTATTTTATTTTATTTTATCATATAATATAGTGTATATATATAATTAAATAACATATACAAAAATTTAAATCATATAAAATTTAATGTATACATAATCATAAATGTAATATTATATAATTTAATAATACAATTAATTAAAATTATAGTCTAAAAATAAAATGATTTAAACTCATCTCTGGCATAATATCCCAAATGCATAATTTTATGATCTGAATATATGTTATTTGAATTGATTGATGAGTGGCATAAGATGTTGGTTAGGACATTAATGTCTTGGGCGAGACCTACTAATTGAAGAAATATTAATGTCTTGGTCTGCGCAACTGTCTGTGATAGATGCATTTCATTATTGTCATAAAGTTTCTTTGAGGTTACGAAATGCCAAATGCCAGCGAAGGGAACAAAGCACGTGCGTATTGGTTGACAATTCTTGTGTTAAAAAATGTAAAATAAAGTACAGAGAGCTTCAGAGTGAAGTAGGTACCCATCATATCATATCATTTGAGTGTAAGAATTCAGATCAAATAATTACAAAATTACTTACTGGAGTGGCCAATCAATTTAATTTCAGTGAGGCCACATCATTAAAACACTACAACATTCAAATTCCAAAGTTTTAGCAAGTCAACCAACTATTAGGTTCATTTTATATCAATGTTTTTAATGTTTAAAAAATTGAGTAATAGTACACACAATAAAAGTTATACAATAATTTGTATAATATTAAAACTTTTGTGTTTATCTCTTAATTATTAATATTATCTTTCTCCATAATAAATAAAATGATAGAAAAAGATAAACACAATAGTGATATTATATGATTTTTGTTATATATGTAACATTATTCTAAAAAAACTTATATGATCAATATAAAATTAAATTTTATTAACTTAATAAAGATTGATTTCTGAATAACCGATAATAATTATTGCATCTGTACTTTTATAATAGTTGTTTTATATAAATTAAAAAAATATAATAAATTTTTCTATTTTTTATAGAATGATCTTAATGTTTTTATTAGACTTTCTTTCATTTTTACTTTATAATAAATGCTCATCAAATGTCATGTGTAAATTAATTAAAAGTTTGTTGATGATATATAAGGGTATAATTGATAATATAATAATTAATACTATTTTGAAATTTAAATATGATAAATAAATAAAAATAAAATTTTACTAAAAATTTGATAAATAAGAAGAAACAGAAAAAAATATATATATAATTTAATGATGATACACTAATGATTTAAAATAGTTTTGAACTATCATCCTATCACAATTTATAATGTAAATAATAAATTTGTTAATTTTTATAATAATTATCTTAAAAATCAAATAAACTGTAATTTTTAATTAATACAATGTGCATATTACGTTGTGTCACTTCCGTCGGTGGATCACTAATAAACTCATAATTATGAGTTTTTGCATTATTTAATGTATTAAATGATAAAATAATAGTCATAAAAAAATTAAATTATAAAATTTAAATTAACATAAAACGACTGTAAGTCTGTAATATATATGTAAATATCAAATATAAGTATTTATTCAATTAAAATTTTAATAAACTAAATTAAAAACTATTTTTTAATTTAGTTTGCGTTAACGATTTTTTTATACCAAATTTTATTGATTCTGTTCAAATCTTGTCAATTGTTTTGATCCTAATCCATATATATTACATAAAGGGAATACCTCTTATAATCAATATTTTTGCTTTTTAGTTTTACATGAATTATTTTCTTTCTTATTTTTTTCTGCAACTTAAAATTACATTTTCTTACAAGCAACTTTTCATTCTTTTCTATTGTTTTATTTTAAAAATTATAATGATTACTCATAAAAATAATTATTTTCTAATTTTAATAGAGTGTAAAACATGAAATGTCTTTTCCGTAGTGGTCCTAATAACGTGGAGACATCGTGACAGTCAAGAAATATGAGAATCAAATACATTGAAGCTATGTTCTAAAAACTCAATTTGTTGGAATGTAAAAAAACAAGTTTAGGGGGAAAAACAGACCCAAAAAAAAAACATTCTTATAGTTCATTTCTTAACAGTTCCCGAATTTAATTTTTGAAATTTAATTTTCCGAATGATGTTACCAAAATTATTGAAATAAAACTTGACAAAGAAAAATAAGGGATCAGTTAATAAAAATATTTCATCCCACCCAGAGAGAGCAAACCAAAAGATCTTCTCAAGTTTCATAGATGCTTGTGTTTTCCGCCTAAAAAATACTGTCTCCTTATATTTACAGGGAAAACTGAAACATTTCTTTAATCAATACAAATAATCGTTTTTATCATAATCATAATTTATAATAAAATCAATTTTTTTTATTCATTTTAGTACATCAAAATATAACAATCATTTAACATTTTCTATAATTAGTGTGAGAAAGACACTACGTGTATTATTTAAAATTGAGAAGAAGAAAAAAAGGATGATTAATTAGAGATTAGTGAAAGGCAAGAAAAAATTAGAAATTAAATATGATTAGTTTGATAGTAATAAGAATAAAATAGTCTGAAATTTGTGTACACCAAAATAGCCTATGGCATTTATATATTGTTATAAATTAAAAATATTCAAGAGTATTCATTGGTCATTTACATATATGTAAAATTAATTCAAATTTTAAATTCCTTGTTAATTTAATTTTATGTGACATTGACTAGAAATTAAAAAAAAAATCAGAAAATAAAGAGTAATTAAAGATAATCTTACCCTCTTAAAAAAAATTATCCAACATTACTGATGCTATGCTCAGAGCGGATGAACCATCGATTAGTCTTTAAAAACCAGAATGAATTCAACATAGCTATACATGTATACATATATGTTCCGTGTCTACTTTATACAAGCGGGCAAGATTTAAGATTGTACCGTTCCAAGAGAATAAACAACTAACAAAGCACATCATTCCACCAAGCTCAAAGCACAAAAAGAATAAAAATAAAAGGATGCGGATAAAAATGTCATGAAACAAGCCCAGAGATAAAAAAAAAAAAGGCAATCACACTCATTAATTATTAATGTGCAAGAGACAGATCAGTAAAACAATTGAAATTTAAACTTGTGAAACATATAGACAGACACCTTCATCCGTATTATTGTTATCTGAACTCAATGAACACTCACAAGAAATGGGTTCTGGCAAACTCCACACTCAATGGTCTCTGAACCAGAGCTAGGCACCTGAACCTGCAATAAACCCAAAACGAAGCGCCAAATGAAGATGATGTATGTGTAGGACAAAAAGGGGGGAAATAACAATAATAGATTCAAACCTGTAGATGGACAGTGCAAATAGGACATGCAACTTCCTTCATTCGTTTTGCAGATCCATCAGACTTGGAACCTACAAAAAGACCACTTAACTGAGCTGCAGAGATAAATTTCCAAATATTCAACAATAAAAAATCCTGGCCATTTCAACTAAATTTTCAACAGATTGCTTGAAACCTGACTCCTTTGGGAAGTTATGAATCAAAACATGTACTGTAATTTTACAATTCACTGATTCAAAGTCCCAAAAATTAAAACAGATTACATTACCTGATGTCCTTCGATTTCTCTCCAGCTCCTCCTGCCAGGACAATCACAAAGTAAGATACACAAACAACTAAAGAAACTATAGCCTTCCATGGGCAATAAAGCAGCACCAACAAATGATATAAGGACCAAATCATTCACCTGAAGTTTCTTGGCAAGATCCTCATGACTCTGCAATGCAGGTTTACTTGATGACTCTTTAGCACTAGTCAGACGCTGCGTCACTTCCGCCTAAACAGCAATGAAACTATAAGACTTAACAATATCGCTTCAAAAGCAACAACATAATCCAAAATAATATCCCTATTTTCATCGACTCCAATGTGATTGAGTGAAAGCCAACAAATATTACACATACCATGCAACGGTCACACACACGTACAGGCTGAGCATTCTCATCAGCAGTTAGAGCAATTCTACCGTGTGTACATTTGTCACAGAAAATATCACCACAGTTCCTACAGTGGTGCTGTTACAAGCACAGAGGATCATGACATTAGCAACAGAGCATACAAAACAGATAACATTGATTGATAAATGATACAAGGATATCAACCTTGCGAACAAAAGCGCTAAAATCAGTGCCACATGCTGTACATTTTGAGACAGCTTCATCTGGTACCTATACAAAAAAAAAAAAGGAACCAGGTAAGAACTCCACTTTTGTAATAGAAAATTATCACACATCATAGTTCAACTGAAGCAGGTAAATATGGTTTGGTCAATTTATTTTTTTCATTAAAAATCGTCACATTCAGAAATATCCCAATAGTTGAAAGGAGTACAAAACACACTAACATTTGAAAATTAAGTCGACAAAAAACATTAACTGGAGCCACAATATATGTTCCAACAATTACAATCATCTATCAGCATCCTAGGGAAAAATGAGAAATTATTGAAGGAAAACATCTCTTCTAAAACCTTAGACTCTTTTTTTTTAAACAAGTAGGGATACGAGGATAGAAACAATGAAGATTGCATCTAATGTTTACCCAATGATCCTTCTCTTCATTGGCAGGTTTAATCAGATTCATCCAATCACCAAAACCTTTCTTTCTTTCTGCAAGCTGTTCATTTATTTTCACTGATTCAACAGGCCTCTTGCTTCCACCCATTTCCTTGAACTGCATTAAAAAAAATTTAAAAAAATGAGTAATTAAGAGTTTAAGACACGTAAGAAACAATTATCAATATCTAAAGCAACATAGTTGTTCATAAGTAGACAAAGACCCCAAGAAAAAGAAGGACAACAAGCTATTTAACTAGAAAACCTTTATGTAGAATTTGAAATAGATTAAGTGACCAGATATGATGTTGATAGAAAAGCTTTTATATCATTGCAAAAGCCGTGATAGAAACTATATGACAGCTTTTAAGGAATATGAACCATAGTTATCAAAATCCCAGATAGTGGCAGGGAGCAAGCAACCCCAAAACTGTGCTATAGCATGATAGCAGATAGTGGGACGACCCAATATTATGAAAGTTTTAGATGAAAATTAAATAATTTATATTACATACATAAATCCTATAAAAAAAACACTATTAAAGGCATATTTATAATAATTAAAAGTCATAATTTTAAGCCAAATAAAGAAATTAATAACAAGATGATTCATGTGTGTAAATTATTTAATTTGCAGGGTGTGTTGGCAGGTGAGCAGAGATGTGAACAAAGACAGCAAAATAATATGCCAGATTTACAGTGTGTGGGTTGGTTGGAAAAATGTTGTGAGGGGTGCATGGCTAGAGAGCAAGTAGGTTTGTTCATAGAATAGAGGATCAGAGGCTAGGACAAAGTAACAAGAGGTGAGAAACAAACAAGAGAGTTCAGATTATTGTGGTTGGCAACTCTACAAGTTTGCCCCCAAAAAATAAATGAAACAACACTGGTTTCAGAGGCAAAATTGAACTTCGACATATCCCCTGCATAGCACCCAATACCAGATAGGATTGGCTGCAAAAAGCACTGCTCCAGCTGTAATGGCCAGGTGCGACACAACAGAGGTTGGAAGAGCGGCAAGGGGCCACAACAGCGCAATAGCACCACTACTGCACATTAACTACTATGCTAGAGTAATTGAACATTATATTTGATCATTTCATATTTTAGGCAGTGATTTGTATTCAGCTTCTAGTTGCCAGGATTAATACAACAATAACTTCATGATGTTAACTTAAGTTATAAATTTTTGTTTTCCAGAGCCAACAGCCAAAATCATGAATACATGCTTAAAGTCCATTTATCAGCAACAACAATTAATTGGATGTCAATCCCTGGGAGGCTGAACATGGCACTGTAGCCACAAATTGATTGAATTTCGTATGGTAACCGAGATCTAAGTGGGTTAGGAAGCATCCATCAGTGGACTGAAAGCAGTTATTATTGTGTGTATATGTGGCATAAAATAACTTATCTTGTGTATGATTTCTATGTCCAGTACTGTATTTTATTAATTTATCAATAGGTGTTCTATCATTGTCATGAGGTCAATTACAGAGGAAAGAAAAGTATAAATCAGCCCATACAACCATTCGTGAATTGTCAAAAATAATTGTTCGTGGTAACATAACCACTTAAAAAAGCCGTGTGTTTTTCATTTAATCTTGAAATTTCATGTATGATTTTATGGTCTATTATTAAGTCTTCAGAAAATACTATACACACTAAAGGCAAAAAAAGATGCCCTTGAATGTACCCTTTTCATTGTGATAGACCCCACACCAAAATTCTAAAGTATATTTTCTGAAGAGGTTCAACGGAAACAAGATTTGAACCCAAGGATAGCATGGGAGTTGAGCAGCACTGATAGATACCTAATAGTTAGTCGGGTTAATTATTTAAAGAAATACAATGACCAGTTGATGCCTCTAAAGCAGTGTAAAGAGTGAATTCAGACCTCCTGAAATATCTAGAGCAGTGTAGTGCTGACTGGGGGCTTCTCCTGTAATTTCGTTCAATACAAACCAGTAACTTCTCATAATTATGACACCAGTTGGTTAACTGGTATCAGAGCAGTTGATCCAATGAGCTGTGGGTTCATTCAAAATGGATTCTTGAAGCTTTCTTAGTGAGAACTCACGGAGGGTTCATCATGGTATCCAACCAAGAGCTTGAAGCCAAAATTGAAGGGATTCAGTACCAGCATGATTGGGTTTGGCACCTTAACAAGGTGCAACTTGAAGTGTAGGGGCGGCGAAAGAATCTTTGAAAGAGATAATGAAGAAATGCTTGCTAGCTGAATTGCAGGTGATCCTGAACCTGTAACACGATCAAGGGGGCTGAGGGAAGGAGAAGAGGCTCTTTCAGTCAAAAGGAGGATAGCAAAACCCACCAATATTGCATTTCCAACATTTCTTGGGAATGGGTATTGGCAACAGAGAGCCAGATGTAAGGAATATTTCATGCTGGATGAAGAAAACAGAAGTAAAGATGAAGTTCTAGGGATCAAGAGCCAAGAAAAGATCATAGTGGCAGAGAAGGGCCCAAATTGGTGGATCTACCGAGAAAAAAAATCAAAAAAACAGCAACAGAAGAAGAATCAGAGAAGTTCCAAGACCAGAGGGTCAGAAAATAAAACTGGTTTTAATGGCCATGGAAGGAAAGGATTTTGCAAGGTAAGGCATTATGTGGGTCAAAAATAGACCAAACAGACCAGACTCCCAGTAAACTTGCAGACGCAGTCATGCTCTCAGGGATAAAAATACAACATAAAACAAAGCTTTAGAAGAGAATGGAGGCACCCAGTTGTTTGTGTCTGGACCAGGATGGCTTGGGGCTATTTTGAAGCTGCAGTGATGGGGATTGTCTCAGTCATCATGCTTCCAAAAGTGGGACCCTTGAGTGGACTTTATTTCAGCCGCAACAACTGTTCATCTGATTCTAATAAGGTTCTTTCACATATTAGCCCAACTTTTACTTCTTTTTTTTTTCTGACATGAGTACAGTAGAGCATATATAATTCAGCTTGTTTTCTATTTTCCTCTACTTCTGGACCACTGGTCTTGTTATCTATCACATAGTAACTCAAAATAGCCAAGCAACTTTAAACTAAATCCTGTCCGCAAGTAACCTTATAAGAAAGAAAAAAGTGCCAGTGTCTTCCCGCAATTTGTAAAGATACAAACATCACCAAACGATTCTAACCTAATTGATCATTAAAAGAAAAAAAAATGAACAATTGTTATAAAAGAAAATTGAAACCTATGAATACCTGTATGGTTGCAGCAGTCACCGTATCCAAAAGTGTATTAGTAGTGTAACTATTAGATTGCAATCTGATTCGCCTTGGCTCAATGTCCACGGGGCTCTTTGACCAAAATGCAAAGGTTGATGAATCGAATCTCTGCATGATTGATGATTCAATTAGCAAAATCATACATTGAGATTGCGTAGGAAAAATAATTTTAAAGTCGTAATTAAGTTATATGAAGGAAATCAAGAAGCTCACATCACATCTTGTTATGTTCTCAAGAGGATATATTCTCAAAGTCCGGCTGGTATTTGGATCTAGCATTCGAATTCCATCCAAACCAATCTGACCAAACAAATGTTAACAGAGTTCAGATCAACATCAAAAAGATAACGTGCTGAACATTTTTTAGAATTTTCCACGTAAGCCCCAAGTCTAATAAAATTTCCAGTAACAGTAGAGTAAAGAGCGATATATGAACATAGGCATGACAAAGATTTGTCTGCTTACACTAATATGGATACGTCTTACAAAGAAAGAACACAGAAGAAGAATCTCTCTCTCTCTATATATATATATATAAAGAGAGACAGAGAGAGAGTATCATATTATTTGAAAGAGAAGGAGAGAAAATCGTGAGGCTTAGTATATATCAGCAAACCCATCTGGACTAAAATTACTACTGCTTTAGGTCAAAGTCTCAAACCATATCCTCATTAACCTACTTGTACTAAAGAAGCACCCCTCCCCCTCTCAACCATCCAATTGTTATCCAATATGCTCACAGCCAGGGATCCACCGAGCCATTTCAGACACAATAATCAGCCATGATAATTGTTACTATATAGATACTTTGAATACTCTTAACTAAAGATTGCATTTTAACTGAAGCTAACTTTCAAAACACTGAATCTATCTTTTAACCTAAAATTCGTGCAAATATGCCAATTCAAAATTTGTAGGGTTAAAAATAAGATTTTGGAGAAGCTAAAATAAGAGAACTTTTACAAATTAGCTTATGCATAAGATAATTTCAGCTTATGAGAAGTTTATTTCATTTTTCTTTCCTATTTTCCTCTCCTAGAAATGCTATTGTAGAAGTTTACTCAAACAGACCCTATATCTGTTACAATAACATAGCAAACGAAACAATTCAATCACTAAACCATTAAAATCCGACCAAATAAACAAATGCCAATGAAACCTAAACCAGCAGAATAAACACACAACCAAAACAAATAGCTATAGCTGCAATCCTCTTCATACCTGACAGAGAACATCCATAGTGCTCTGACCCCCACTTTCTGCCAACAGCTTGACACGAAACTTTTGCACGCCACCTTTCACGTCTTCCTGGGCATCAACCTTGGGCACCGCTTTCACAATCTTACCCCCAGCGGAAGATTCCTTCTGCGATGGAAAACTAATGGACCTCCCATAATCATCAAACGCCGCCCAAGTGGAGGATTTGGGCGCGGTGCCGCGCGCCCCATAGGGTTCGACTTTGCCCCCTTCGTAAGCATAGACGCCGTCTCCGTAGCCCTCGTCGCCACCGCTCTTGCCGTAATAATCGGATCCCAAATCGGAGTGGGTCCGATTAAAGGTGCCGCCTCCGTACCTGTCGTCGAAGTAGCCGGCGGCGTGCTGGGGCCTGGGCGGAGGGTCGTAGGTGGGAATTGGAGGAACGGAGGAAGGTGCGGTGAGGGAGTAGGGAGCGGAATTGTATAAAGAGGTGTTGGGAGGGGCGTAATTGGGAGCGGTTTGATGCTGATCATAGGGTGGGAAATAGGGCTGTTGTTGGTAAGAAGGGTTTGATTCGAAATAAGGGGGGAAATTAGGGTTGGAGGCAGAGGGAGCAGTGGGTGGAATAGGATCGGGGTTTTGAGGGTAAGGGTTGTAATCGGAAGGAGCGTAATTGGGGGTGAAGGGAGGTGCGGAGGCGTAGGGGTTATTGGGGAGTGGATCGGAGGGGGAAGGAGAAGGGTTAGGGTTTTGGAGGTGTGGGAATTGGTAATAGGGAGTGGGGGTGTAGTCTCCTTGCTGCATGGTCGATTAGGATTAGGGTTTGGGGAAGAGAGTGATGAATGGTTTGGGAAAGAGGAAGAATATTATTGCCTCCGTGTCTGCAACTGCAGGTGAATTGTTTATTCTAGAAAGGGGAGGAATGCGGTAATTATGATGAAGAAGCAATGCTAATTCCTAATTGCTAACAGAACATGTTTTTTTTATATTGGGCCCCACGCGCTTCCACGCTTACTTTAGATTCTTTCTCAAATCACTCCGTCTTTTTTAATCACTTTTTTTAATTAAAAAAATTATTTACATGTTATTTTTCAATTTTAACATGTTAATAATTATAAATTTACTTATCACTTAATTTTTAATTAATTTATATATAAAAACTACTGCGCATTTATTATGAAGTAAAGTATCATAAGAAACATCTTAAAACCATTCTATCAAAAATATTAATATTTATTAGATTTCTTAATTTATGTAAAATAATTATTATAGAGAAATGGAAGTATTACTCTGCCCTCCTTCTATTATTATAAGTAAAAAAATAAATATTTTTAAATATAAAAAAGTTATCGTTAATATATGAAGTTTTTTTAAGGGAATATATGAAGTTTTAATTGCGTTACATTTTGACAAATTTAGAAAGAATGTTATAAAATTAATAAAATTTAATATTAATAATTATTTTTTTTAATATACATAAATTCAAATTATTTTATAATGAAGAATACATGGAATACTATTTAATATTTTGTCAACATTTTTATCTTTTTTATCTTTACACATGATTAGATATTTAAAATTAAATTAAATTTTGATGTCTCAAGATTTTTATATTTAGTTCAACATTGTAAATAAGAATATCTTTCATTTTTATATCTAATATTTAATAACCTCTTATACTTTTATATTTTATATTATCTTTAAATTTTAAATGTTATCCTTCTTTATCATTTTTTCATATATTATAATATTTTTTTACACCAATATATACTTTAATATTTTATAACCTCTTATCTTTAAATATATTATTTTTATATTTATCTCTATTTTTTAAGAAAACATTATCAATAGTTAAAATAATTTTGTATCATAATTTAAATAATTTTTTTATGATAAAACACAACTGTAAAAGAAGTAATTTGTACCTTTATATTTTAAAAAATAATTAAAAAGATATAAATAATAACAATCGGAGGAGAAAGTTTGGAATGGATTAGAGATAGATATAACTTACAAGGGTAAAATAATTAAATATATATATATACGAAAAAAACAAAAAAAAATTAAATATAAGTATAAATTATATATCAAATTATATTATATTATATTTATAATAAATAATTTATATTATGACAAAATTATTTTTCATAATAAGATAT